CAAAAGCATAACTGAGGAGATTTACAGCACTAAATGAAACATGAGAACTTTTCCAAAAGGAAAATAATCTCAAAGTAAATAATCTCTGTTTCTACTTGGAGAAACTCAGAAAAGAGCAAAATGAATCAAGCAGAAAGAAAAAAAGCATAAAAATCAGAAGAAACTGACAATACAGAAAGTAAAACAAAAAGCTATTTATTCAAAATAAACCGTGACAAGTGATAGATCTATACCAAAACTGCCAAAAATAAAACAGAAGTTTTAAACACCAATATCAGAAATAGAGATAACACTATGAATTCTTCAGTAGGTAAAAATGTGAGGGAATACTAGAAAAAAAAACACGCTCACAAACTGATTCTTCAAGAATCAAGAACTATGAATGCTCAAATAAAATTTTAAAATCTAAAGAATTGAACACATAATTCTTAACCTCCCCAAAATAAATCTCTAAACACACATGAATTCACTGGAGAAAACTATCAAACATGGAAATAAATTGATACCTTCTTTTCTAGAAAACAGAGGAAGATGTACATCGTGATTCATTTTATGACGCTAGCATTACAGTGCTACTAAAACAAAAGGAAGGGAGAAAAAGATTGAGCAAGCAAGGAAACTCCAGAGTGCTGTTTTCCAGGAACCAAAATGCAAACCCGGGACTGAATCAGCAGGATCCACCAGGCCCTGTGGAGAAGGGCGGGAGAGGAGGCTGTCAAGGGGACCCAGACATGAGGGTGGCACTGGCCCCATGCCTGGTGTCGCTGCGCACACAGGAGGCCATGTGGCAAAGACCACCCCCCACCCCAGTCCAGGAGACTCCAAACCTAGGGGCGCTGCCTGCCTTGGAGCCTTCAGAACTGTGGGGCACCTGTGGTCTTCCGCCAGGGCAGCCCCAGCAGACCAGCTACTACCTCGCAGTAGGTAAGACCACAATAGACAATCGCTTTTAAAAAATGGAAAAGTACAACATGAGTTCATCCTAACCCTTCTGATTCAAATTAAAAATTTTAAACTTTTAAATTTTAGTTTAAACTTTAAAGTTTTTAGCTTATATTTTATAATTAATGCTTTCTTTACACTGCAAAGTCTTGGCTATAAATGAAAGTGGCACAGTTATTAGTTTGCTCTTACATAATAGTTTCAAGAAGCAATACAAATATTAACGCTGACAAGAAAATTGGGTGCAGTTTTAGGTTCCTTTATTGGGTTTTTGGTACACAAAATAATACCAAAAGAAATACACTGCCCTGATATTGTGATTTCAGAGCAATTTAAACCTTTTTTTCTCTGGAAAGCTATTCCACATAGAGTACCCTCCATGACAGACTGCATTTTTACTGTTTTTTTTTTATTTATTTACATAAGATATTTACGTCATGCTGAAGTCTGGGCCCTAAAACAGGTACATTAGAGAAGTACAGCCCACCCTGCCCTGCGCCTCATTCTCTTCTACCCTCTTCCACTGCTGTTTTTGCTTATTTTTTATGTAGGCCTCCATTCTTCCTTCTGGATTAGTAAGAGCACACATCACGCCTGTTTCCGATAGTTCCTAGGTCCTGCGTGGCAGGCTGTCCCGCTCCCTGCCTTTCTCAGGAGGATGGTGTTGGAGAGGACGATGCCACATGGGAGGTCAGCCTCGTTCCTTTTCACCGAGGCACCACGCTCTAACGCCTGGATATGGTAAGACGAAATCTAAAGATGTCCCTCCCAGAAGAATCCCACCCACTGCTCAACCTCACAGCAAACACAGGCAGGATTCGGAGGAGAGCTGGAGGTGAGACAGTCCCAACTGTCTCAGCCTTGGGCATGGAGAGGCTCAGGTAAACCTGCCTCATCAGGTGGGATTCTCACAAGCACATGTTCGCCCTGACCGGGGAAGGAGAGGCCACAAAGGATACTGGAGCAAGAGGAGATGTAGCCATGAAAGGCGACCTTGCCCACACCTCTGCTCGGGCACCTGCCTCAAAAGACAGCCTAGAACTGAGCATGAACCCAGCCACAAACCGGCCAGAACACGGGGCCCCACCAGCGCCCGGAGAGTCGAGGGGAGGCTCAGAGCAGCAGCCACCACCTCAAGCCCAAGCCTGTGAGACGGGAGGTGTCACCCTCTCGGACGGCCACAGCAACAGTGGGTACCACCTTAAAGCACCACATCCATGCTAACCTGCTACCCCAGGAACAGAAAACTACCAGAGGTGAACAGAGCTCTGCAGCCAGGCTCCTGGGCTAGGTGCTGGGCTGCTCAGCTTCCGGCCCGAACCCAAGTCCTGCACTCTCACATCCGCTCTATGCCACCACATTTGCCACCAGCCGGGGGGAAGCTGTCTGGGTCAAAAGGCAAATAAATGCCCATTTCTCTACATGGCAGTGAGCACCTTCATACGAAAGTCCAAAGTCGGAATCCAATCTCTGCAACGGCACGGGGAACTGTCCTGACTCACGTGCTGGGGCCCCAGCCAAAATGCAGCCACAATAAAAACACTGCACAGAATTAGTGTCCGCCTGCGTGTGCAAGGAGCACATGAGACGGAAATGTAGTGTCAGACCGGGTCCTGTCCCTAAAACATCCAGGGAATGACGGCAAACATCCAGCCCCGAAACACTCTGGCTCCAGCCATCTCAGCCCACACTGCCAACTTCTCCTCACGGGAGCTGTAGTATTTGGCATCTCCAGCAGCCAAGTCTGAGAGCGCCAATCTCCATAGCCTCAGGCCCTGCCAGTTTGCCAGGTCGGCAGGTGAGAAGGACTTTTCATTCGCATTTCAATTAGGGCTTCCTCACTGGCATTCCTGTTCCTATTATTAGCAGGCTGTTCCTGGCTCCATGGGTCCCTGTTGTCTCCCTGTTAGGTGCTGAGCTTTGGTTTCCACAACCCATGTTAAGAGGACAGAACCCCGTGACTCCCGGCCATTTGTGTCCACTGTCGCGTGCTACACTGCAGTGTGGCCGGAAGGTGTGCAGGTTGGGGAGGCTCAGGACAGAGGGCCGGTCCTGCAGGGCCCTGGTGTCAGGAGGGGTTCAGGAGGGGATAGCCACATGTCAGCCCTGTGGGACTTCCCTAAGAGGACAGCAGGGGTGAAGGCCCTGGCAGCCCTGCCAGCCAGGGAGGAGTGGGCTGAGGCTCCTTCTCCTTGGGGCCTGCAGAACAAGCTGACTCCCATGCGGGGCTCTGGTCCCCTGTAATCCTGTCCCCACTCAGCAGCGTCTGGACCCCTGTGTGTAGTCTTCCCTGCTCACACTGCGCAGAAAAGCTTTCGGGGCTCCTGCTGCAGTGGGGGAAGAGGGGCTCCAGAGTGCTGGGGATCCAGACTGGCAGCAGTTCCCCACCTGAGTCTTCCAAGTGCTGGTCCCCCAAGCCTCTAGGCGGAGCCTCGGCTCACACTGGCGGGCAGTAAGAGATCCCCTAGAACAAGCGCAGCCCACCCAAGCACAGCTCTTCTGCCTCAGCCCTCTTCCCTGCCTTAGCTCCTCCACTGTCACCCCACACTGCAGTGTGGCAGAAGTGATGGTCCCCGCCTCCTTGATCAGAAACCCTGCTCCACCTGGCCCCCCTCCTGGAGTTGCCGGCTCTTGGCACATGGGGCCCAAGGACCTACCCTTTGCGTCCTGATTGTTTCCAAGTGCACTCTCCGCACCTGTCATGGGCTCCGTGTGGCCCGATGCTTCCCTGCCTATGGCCTTTCAAAGCCAGGGCCACCCAAGCAAGGCTGTCTTCCTTCAGTTCTTTGCTGACTTCCCAAAAAGCCGCCCTCTGCAGGGGCTTTCTTCATTGCTAGAATTCTTTTCCATTAGCTCTGCCTCACGGAGAGATGCCCTGTCTTCCTGTTCTTTCTCCTTCAAGGTCCTGCATCCTCAATGGACCGAGACCAAGCAGACCCACTGGCTCCTTCATCCCTCAACGCCTGATGAGGACAGGTGTGAAGCAGGCGGGAGAGGGCGGGACCCCAAGGGTCCCCAGGACAGAGGTGTCTCTGCGTCTCTGTGCAACACGACAGAGCCACCCCTCCCCGCCCTGCTCCAGCTCACCCTGCTTGCCACACTGCTGCAGAGGAGGAGGAGGGAGGAGTCAGGGCCAGACGTGCCGAAGTTTCTACACGCTCATCACAGACACAGAGCCCCAGCAACGCCAGGCTCTGGCAGTCTCCGCAGCTAAGGAGAATCCACAGCTGGGTTACAGGAAGGACTTTAGATGGAGTGGCCAGGTGACTCGCCGCAGAGGAAGCCAGCCACGCAGGCACGGGGGAGAGAGGTCAGAGCCCGGGGAGTGGCAGGCCAAGCGCAACAGGCACAGGGTGCTGAAATGGTGGCAAGGCTGCAGAAGACAGGGGAGAGGCGGGAAGAGGATGCCTGGGTGTCACCACGGCACAGAAGGTGCCCCGGAGTACACAGCAGCTCCAGGCACTCCTCTGAGGTCAGACACCTGTCCAGGTTGCAGCACAGGTAAAAGTTCAGGTAAGACACAGACATCAAAATGGACTTTCAGGACTCTGCTGGGCTTTAACAGAGCAGGACCTAACCGTTCAGAAAGGGAACTTTCAGGACATCAAAACCTGCTGCTCCCTGTAGAGAGGGAGGGGACAGAGAAAGAGAGGAGAGGGACAGACGCCGCCAGGCCCATCCATCCCCCACCCCACCCTGCACCTTCTCTGGCCTCATGGGGCCTTCAGCAACTCCTCCAAAATCTGACAAAAACAAGATGCATGGTCCACACACCCTCCCCCAAAACTACTGCCATGGATCCCGGATAATCCATGCAGTGCCCTGCCCCGAGCCATGCTCAGATCCAGAACCCACCAGACACCACCACCTGCTTCAGTTCCAAAGTCTCCCTCGGTTCTCTGTGCCTCCGGGCTGAGTTTACAGGAGAAATATTAAACCCTTGAAACAACTGGGAAAAAATTTCAACACCAGATCCATAAAGGCCAGAAAATAGCCAACGGAAGGAACACAGCCACCCGGTCGGCACCTGCTGGAGTGGCGGCCAGGAGGGAACCTACCGTGCTTGGCAGCCGAGCAGCAGCATCTCACGGCTGTGAAGCAGGACGTAGCAGAGCACCAGGAAGGCTTTCGCTCGGATGGAGGCCGAGGGGCTGTCGAGTAAACGGATAATCGTAGACACAAAATCCTGTGGGCGACATTTGAAAGAGTTCTTGAGAAAGCTCGAAAAATATAGAGAACTCTCCATTCTCAGAGAGGATCAGTTACAATAATCAAAGAGATGGCAGGAAACAAAATAGCTACTATTTCGGGACTTTTAATTTATTCCAGATTCCATACTAAATTCTTCATATGTATTATCTCACTGAAACCTGCAAATCAACTACAAAAAGTTGCCAGTTGTATTCCTATTTTAAAGAGAAAAACAAATTCTGAAAAGGTGAGCGACTTGCCCAAACTCAGAACTGGATTCAAATCCAGGCAGGACAGAGTGAAGCCCACGTGCGTGAGCGGAAGCTGCGCGCAGATCTGACCTAGAGAGGCCTGGGCAAGCACAAGACGGCAACCACACCCAGCCCCGGACACAAAGACAACCCACACCTCGTCACGGGCTACTGGCCGAGGCTTAACACAAAGCGGAACGGGAGTGCCTGACAAGTCCACCGACACAGGAGGGAGCATGCCACCCGCGACCAGCCAGGAGTCTGATGTGCTCACTATGGGGTCCCACAACATCGCCACCCAAAGGTGGAGGTTAGGAAAATTTTATTGGCAATAAGGAGAACAGCTCCTGGGCTCCAGCTGGGTCCCAAGGGGATGGCCACGGAGGCCCAGTCAGGGGTAATGTATACAGCAGTCACAACGTGGGCACAGCATGGGCCAAACTACCATCAACCCATAGGATTATAAGTATAGCTTCTTAGCTAATCTTGATCCAATAGAGGAAGCAAGTTACATAGCAAGGGTACATGGGCCTGGTGTGGTGGCACACACCTGTAATCCCAGCACTCGGGAGGCTGAGGCAGGAGGATTGCTGCCAGTTGGAGGCTAGCGTGGGCTACACAGTACTTTTAAGGCCAGCCTGAATTAGACTGCGATCCTATCTCCAAAATAAAGAGGGGTACACGGGAAGGGAGGAGAGTGTGGGTATGGGTGTCCTGGTCACCACCTGTGCACCTGATGCCTATCTGGGCCCACGGGACCTGGCGGCTGACCCAGTACCTGCTCAGGAAGGTTCCCAGGCCTTTGCTATTGCTTCTCCACCCGGAGGCCGGGCTCTCTTCAGATTCACCTCCAGCCACCACTCTGCCATCTTCATCCTGTGCTGAACTCGAGGGCCAGGTTCCTCTCTGACTGGGTATTTTTAGCTGTCTATAAAAGTACAGTTATTTCCCTTTTGACAGACTGTGAACCATTTCTGGGGCTTCATCAGTGTGCAAACAGGGAACACACATGCACACCCAGATCAGGGAGCCCTGGGCTGATGCAATGCGGAGTCCAAATCCCCGGGGGTGCTTCGTGGCGATGAGCACTGAGCAGGAACACAGAACTTCCAGGGCAGACTCTCAATGCTCACCGCTTAAGTTTTACTTATTGGTGTATTTACTGGGCAACGTGGCCCTCCAACTTCGAAGATTTGGCACAGCCGCATGTATGAAGCAGCGGTGTCACAGAGCCCAGAAACAAACTCAAAACCAAACCTCATGCGGGGTGAGGAGCAGAACGTGCTGAGATGCCAGAAGGACCGGACCCTCCTTCAGCATCGCAGAGCAGGGAGTTCATCCCAGACATCCCTGATTCCTGCTGTGGCTGACTGCCACTCTTGCCACTCTCTTAGACCGGAAACCGCCCAAGGGTTCAGGAGGCGGAAGAGCCACTCACAGGGCCGCAGTTCCTTCCCCGCTGCAGCGAACACGACCGGGTCCAGAGCACCCGCCGAGGGCTGCAGATTAACTTAGACGGCCGGTCGGCCTGCAGGGATACTCGGATGTGCCAGGTGGGAAGGGTGTCGTGTCTGCAACTGCTCACACGGGCCAGAAAGCAGCTACACAGCCGAAAAGCGGAAAGATCACCAGGAGAATGTGGCAACATCACGGACGTCGTCCAGGGCTCGGCACTCCTCCTGCGGAGCGCCCTCAGCAGACAGCAAACAAACACAGCAATCTGCACGTCCCCGCCACGGCCACGCCAGGCTCCGCAAGACTCTCACCCACCCCGCACCCCCTCGGCCTACCACTCATCCTCCTGGAGTGACCGCTGCGGGCTGCGTAGTCTTCCTTTCTCCTCCCTATGCCACGGGTGCGGAAACAAACATGGACACAACAGAAAAAGAGAAACGCTGCAGCAGGGTCCCTCCGCCTGGTCCGTGCGTGTCCCCAAGTCCCTGTGCTGCAGCAAAGCCCAAAGTGTTCTAGGAGGTGGGAGTGCTGCGGTGGGGAGGTCTTGACGTTCTGCCCTGAAAGGACTGCTTCCACGCCCTCGTGCAGAGGCCCCATAGGCCAAGCAGGCACCAGGCCTGAGGAACGGCCCTCGCCGTGCAGCAGATCCACCGGCCCCTTCCCCCTGCACTTCCCCACTTCCGGAGAACCAGTCTCAGGGGTTTTGTTCCAGCAGTCAGACAGACTAGGCGGACACCACCCAGTCAAAGCTGAAAACAAACAAGAGCCACACAGCAGAGGTAAACTGGAACAGCACAGCTCACAAGAAGGAAACAGCAATGAACAAGCATTCAGAGCCGTGAGGAAGGGCCGAGCCCATGGGCTGTACAAGGAAAGGAAGCACACACAACATTACTTGGGAACACAACAAACTCCTCCAGGAGAAAGAAGTTGAACCTAGCAGTAAAAGAATAACACAGTATGGCCTAGTGGTTATATCCCAGAGATCCCAGACTTTCAACATTTGAAAATCAATGAACTCACAGGTGACACTGATTAAACAAGAAAACTCACATGACCAATCCATTAACAGTAATTATAAAAAGCATTTGACAAAATTCAACATCTCTTCATGACAAATGCACCCAGCAAAGTGGAGATAGAAGATCATTCCCTCACCCTGAAAGTGGGAACCTACAAAGCCAAAGCTAATGTCACACTCACTGGTGATCCCTCTTCCCCTGTAATCCAACATTTTACTGAAAGCTGTAGTCAGTGAAATTAGGAAGAAACATCGGAATTGGAATGGAAGAAATACTTGCAGATGACATGACCAACTGCACAGAAAATCCCAAAGAATGTGCAAAAATGTTCCCAAGCTAATAAGGAAGTTTGGCAACATTCAGTGTATTTCTGCGCCCCAGTGATGACTGAATAGCTCCAATAACAACAAGGAAATGCTGATTTAAACCTAATAAATGTAAATAGAACCTTCACAATGAAAATAGAATAAAGATAAATACAAAATAGTGATGGAAGAAAAAGTTTTTAAACACAATACGTATGTTATACACAGAAGACACTCGTTTCCTGTAGAAGATTCACATTAGTTAAGATGGCAGCTCTCCCCAAACCGACCTGCAGAATGAATGGAATATGATCAAAACCCCAGCAGGGTGTTTGTAGATACACATGACAATTTTAACATAGACAAGGGACTAGAACAGATAATGATACTCTCACATGCATGCGAGAAACAAAAAAACGGTAGCAACAGAAACAATGCAGTATTGACAAAAGATAGGCATGTAAGCAAGGGGAAAAATAAAGAGCTCAGAAATACAGTCAGATGATTTATGACAAAGATGCAAAGGCAATTCTGGAAAGATAATATTTTCAACAAAAGATACTGGAACAACTTGATACCCATGTGCAAATGAATAAAAATTTAAAAACTTCAACATGTTGTGGTCTATATGCAAAAATAACCAACAACCAAACGTAAAATGTGAAACTGCAAAGGCCTTAAGCAAAGGAGAAAACATCCATGTCTTGGGTCAGGAAGAGCTCCTGATACTGACACCCACGTCACAGCACACAAGAGAAAATGACCAATGTAGTGCACTTACCAACGCTACCCTCTCTGCGGGGTCGCGCTACGTGGGACGGGAGAAAACACCGGCTGCTTCCCGCAGCACAGGAAGAACACTCCGAACGCAACACTGGGGAAACGTTTCAACACACAAAACGTTCAGAGAGACATTCCCCAAAGACGTCAAAGATGAAAGGATGCTCAGGATCATAACTGCTTCTGTAACCCGAGTTCAGATCCCCATGAGGCACGCCTCGCACTCACCAGATGACCAACACAGCCACCGCGGAGTCTGTGGGCTCTGCTGGCGGGAATGTGAAATAGAACAGGTGTCTGGGAAATCAGCTTTGTGGTTTCAAAAGTAAGTTAAACAGATTCAAACCACATTTGCCTCCACGCTTGCACTTCTTACCACTGACTGTAACGAAGAGAAAATGTGTGTTCATGAAAAACCTTATGTACAAAATCTGAAAGCAACAGCATTCACAACAGCCAAAAACTGGAAGCAGCCCCTTCGGCGGCCACAGCGAGGCATCAGGCGCCCTACTCAGCAATCATTAGCCATCCGTGTGTGCAAACACCCGGGGGAATCTCCGGGGCAGCACGCTCAGGGAAAATCCCCGCTTCCCAGGGTCGTGATCCGGAACTGGCAGGGACAGCAGCAGTGACAGCCAGAAGAGGCTCTGGCAAGTCTGGCAGCACAGGCTCGTTCTTCGAGATGCGGTGTGCTTCCTGTGGCGGTGCTGACATGAGACTAAGGATGTGTTCATCTTCACACAACTGTGCTCTGAAAAAACTGAGTTATGCTTTGTAAATAAATTTCAAAAGCAATATAAAATTTTGCACAAATCTTCTTGACAAACAAGGCATACCTTGGGCCAAGGAGTAACAAACAAAACAAAGCACACTTGGTAATGCTGAAGGTACCCGCCACTCCCACAAACTTCCAACACCACCGACCGCAGCAGTGAGCGCACCCCTTCAACAGCTCCTCAAGGGCCTTTCCAAAGCAGAAGCAACGGAGAGGGGTCGGCGTCGGGGACTCCATCACACCCACTGGGCCTGACCATCCAGAGAACAGACAGCCCGACACTGCAGGACAGACCAGGCCTCGTGGGTCTCCACCACACTCCACACTGAAATGATACAAGGCACCCCTCTCCTCTCCAAACAGGAAATGTTCCTTGAAATTGACAACATCATAGGGCACAAAGAAAG